TGGAAATATGGAGAGTAGGGAAGAACGACGAAATAACTTTGGAAACGAAAGGAAGAAAAGTTCAGCAAATAGACGTAATGTATATGCATAGACATAAATTCACACAGAAATGCATATTTAAACTGAGAACGACATTCTAACAAACAAGGAATGCGATATATAAGTATTCAAAGACCATCAGACAGACAAGGAGACAGACACGGAAGCAGACACAGATAAAGACCAGGAGGCAGAGACAAGAGACAGCAGACAAGGAGACAGACACGGAGGCAGACACAGATAAAGACCAGGAGGCAGACAAGAAGACAGACACTGAGACAGACAAGGAGACAAACGCGGTGATAGGTACGGAGACAAGGAGGCAGACACAGAGACAAACAAGGAGACAGACACGGAGGCAGACACAGATAAAGACCAGGAGGCAGACAAGAAGACAGACAAGGAGACAGACAAGGAGACAAACGCGGTGATAGGTAAGGAGACAAGGAGGCAGACACAGAGACAAACAAGGAGACAGACACGGAGATTGAGACAGGAGCAAATAAAAACTGAGGTGAGGTATGTTTGCTCTCCCAAGATCTGAGCTGTCTTCGTTTTTGTCGTTGTTGTTCCTCATCTCTCATTCTCTCTCATTTCTCTCTTTTCTCTCTCTTCACTCTTTCTCTCCCCTTACCCTCTTACTCATTCTTTCTCTTTCATTCCTTTCTCCTTCTCTTTCTCTTCGCTCACTCTTTCTCTCTACTTACTCTCTTCATCTTACTCACTCTTTCGCCTCTTCTTCTCTCTCACTCTATCTTTCTCTCCCCTCCCTCTCTAGGCCTCTCTCCCCTCCCTTTCTATACCTTTCTCCCTCTCCCCTCCTTCTTGGTTTGCCCCTCTCTCTTCCCACCCGTTGTCCGACAACATAATGTAATGATAGCCTTGTACCAGGTGAGGGATGGGTAGGAGAATGAGGGGAGAGAGGGAGGAAAAGAGGGCAATAGGGAAAAGTATGGAGGGAGGGAAGGGGGAAGGGAGTGAGGAAATGGGGAGAGAGTGAAGGAAGGGGGGGGGGAGTGATGGAAGGATGATTGGGTGAGGGACGGGGGTGGAAAAGGAAGAAGGGGGGTGAAGGAAGAGAGGAGGGAGAAAGGGGGAAGAAGGGGGAAGAAAGAGGGTTAGATGAAAGGGGAGGAGAAGGGTAATGGCTTGCCAACTCGGGGCCACTCTTTTTTTCTCTTCCCTGCTCTCTCTCCTCTCTTCCCTTTGTTGGTAGATGCATCTCCTCGCGCAATGACATTTTCGTTTCATTGTCTCTGGTTGATGGGGGTGGGGTGGGGGGTGGGGGTTCAGAGGAAGGTAGAAGGACAGAGTAGGAGAAAGGTAAAGAAAGGGAGATAGAAAATATAGTGAATGAAATAGAGGAGGAGATATTTTGATTTTAAAAAATATTTAGGAATGGAGGGCGTTCGTGTCGATATATATAGCCCTCAGAAACGATGGGATCTGTACTCTTGATTTAACGAAAAAAACCTTTGTTACGGGTTTTCATTTTACGTCCATACCCCTCAACTCGCCTCCTCCCACACCGAGCCCGCTTTCTCTCTCTCTTCTCTTTTCTTTCTCTTCTCTTCTTCTCTTCTTCTTCTTCTTCTTTCTTCTTTCTTTCTTCTTTTTCTTTCTTTCTTTCTTTCTTCTTTCTTTCTTCTTTCTTTTCTTTCTTTCTTTCTTTCTTTCTTTCTCTTTCTTTTCTTTCTTTCCTTCTTTTTTTCTTTCTTTCTTTCTCTCTCTCTCTCTCTCTCTCTCTCTCTCTCTCTCTCTCTCTCTCTCTCTCTCTCTCTCTCTCTCTCTCTCTCTCTCTCTCTTCTCTCTCTCTCTCTCTCTCTCTCTCGTCTCTCTTCGTGTGTGTGTGTGTGTGTGTTGTGTGTGTGTGGTGTGTGTGTGTGTGTGTGTGTGTGTGTGTGTGTGTGTGTGTGTGTGTGTGTGTGTGGTGTATGTATATATATGTATATGTGCATGTATATTGTTTATAGATGTATGTGAATGAATGGGGGAGATGGCACTATGCCATGCGTTTTGTGTGACTCGACCTGTGACGCGAATTGGCGTGATGTTCAGTGTGGCAACATTATCTTGGTGTAATCATTATGTATGGCATTGCCTCTCGGTCGAAATGAGAGGTAACCACGTGAAGACAAAGGAAAGACGAAGGAGCGAGGGGGAGCCGCAGTAGATAAACGAGAGGATAAGCCGAGAGAAAGATAAGTTAACGGACCAGATGGTGGATACATGATGGTGGCAAGTGTCGGGCGAGGCAAGGGATGTTCAGTGAGGGTCGTCGTAAGCGTTGATATATGTCTGTGCTTGAATGTGTAGGTGTTCTTGCACGGGTCTGCTTGCTTGTCGGTCGAGTGAATGATCGGGAGAGAAAGAAGGCGGCGAGACGGAGTTAGAGAACGCGGGGGAGGGAGATGCCGTGCGAGTCGCCGCGGAGTCCACCGGCCGAGGAGCGAGAGGGAGAGGAGGGAGTGAGGAAGGTAATCCCTCTCGTGGGTGCCGCGCCACGTGCTGCTAGTGCCTGCTTCTCCTCCATCACTCGCGAGTGCGGCTCCTCTCGCTCGCTCTCTCGCCGAGCTGCTTGGTCCCGGGGCTCCTGCGCTGCGTGAGGCGTTTCCCTGGCGCGCCTTTGTCCTCCGTGGGCCCGTCTGCTCCGGGGGACGAGGGTGCCATGTCACGCGGCGGGGGGGGGGGGCGGAGAATGGACTCCGGGGCCTGTCGTAACTACTTCAAATCAGGTGAAAATAGTTGGATATGCGCTCATATATTTTATGTTGTGTTCAGTGCTAGATTATATTTTGGCGACTGTGTTGTGTGAATTTATTTTGTTATACGGTTAATTGAATGTAGCTGGTTATTTTCTGAACGTGGAACATCCATGCTTGGAATGTTGTTGAGACTCGCACTTTAGGTACGCGAGTATTATGCAAGTCTCGTTCTGTCACTTTAGAGTCCGTTGTTTTAGTACCACATAAATAACTCGTTATTGCCATCGCGTGGATTTTACAAGCAAAATCAAGTCGTCGAAGTAGATAATAGTTTGCACGTTCCCACATTCAGATTGCTTCACATCCTCTTCACCGACTCTCGAGGAATGAGGCTCGGGGGAAATTAGCACGTTAATTCGTGCGTGCGTGCCATGTGCCGTTCTGTGGGGAGGAATCGGGGATTTTACAGGAGGGGTCGCAGTGTGTTCCGGCCCGGGGGGGAGGAGGGAAGGGTGGGAAGGAGAGGGCGAGGTCACGTGAGGTCAAGGCAGGAGGGGGGGTGCGTGAGGTATTAGAAGTGCTTTGGGGTGTCTCAAGGCTGGTCAAGTTCAGTCTCGCCGCGCTCGCCAGTGGACGCAGCCGAGCGTCGCCTCTCTCCTCGCGCGAGAGAGATCCTGTGCTTTTGCTTCGTTTTTATTAAACAGTCTGCGAATGTGAACTGATTTGTTACGTAGACTCCGACGGACGGACGTGGCTCGTGGCTCGTAGCAGTGCGCCGCGGTTGAGTCGAAATGTGAGCGTTGGTGCAGCGCGCGCGGGTGTTTGTGGCGAGACTGCCTGACCGGAAGTCCAGACGAGCACTCATGGCCGGAGAATATGAGATTTTGCGCCCGCGGTTTGACGTGGTTCGGATAGACTGAGGTGAGTGTTGTGTTACGCAAATGTTTGAATGTTTATTTGAGGTAAGTGAGAATAAAAGAGAGACATGGCATTTTGGAAGAACATGACCCGGAGTACCACCTGTTGACGTGAGCGAAAGATCAAATATTGAAAGAGCTGATCCGCGCCGAACCTTCTCTAAGCCCGCGTGGTCCTGTCATAACGTGGGCACCGATCAGGCTCTGGCCGCGGGGTACCATGTCGATCCGTGGGGTTGGTCTCGGCCAGCATGTGTTTGAGGTGAAGACGTGACATTTCCGGTGTTCGTGCTTTTTTGTCAGGCTTCTTTTTATTTTCGTTACTCAACATGCCACATACCCTACATGGCACAAGCCTCCGATCTCACAACTTGGCAGTGCTTCTTCCAGTATGGAGAACGACTTCAAGTACGTGATATTTGTATCGTTAACGCGATTTCGTGGGCACATGGCGGGGGGGGGGGATGCATGGCCGTGTCGCTCGCCAAAAAATATTTTTCAACAGCAATCCACATTTCGCAAATCCTGAAGTCCTCTCCTTTCGGCCAACCAGAGCTACTAAGAACGGGTTGAGTCGTGTCTGCATTTCGTTTCGGTGGAGAGAGAGAGGAGGGAGAGAGGTGGCTCTTTCGCCCCGAGAGCGTGCGGGTGACTAAGCTTTAATCATTTGCATGTCTGGCCATTAGCAGTGCGGCTGGCATTTCTGGTCACAGTGTATTGAATTCGAAGTCATGAGGTTTTGAATGCCTTATTAATTAGGGATTGTGACTGTTCGATTCTTTCACAAATTCAAAAGTAGCTTAACTGTTCATCATTGATTTGTGGGATATGTTTATATATATATATATATATATATATATATATATATATATATATATATATATAATATATATATATATTATATATTATATTTTATGTTGTGTGTGTTCTGTTCTTAACATGGTATTGCTGACTGTTAGAGAATTCAAAAATATGTTCACAGTATTGTTAATTGTATCATCTTCATTTTTGTAAATTGTAACCTCTAGACTTGTCACAGCTGTCGTGGTTTTTGTTCTTTATTTTCTAATTTGTTTCCTCCTCGTCCCTCTCTTCCTATTAATTTTCCCTTTTTGTCTCTTTTCTGTCTTTCTTCTCCTTCTTCTCGTTCTCCTCCTCCTTCTTCTTCTACTCACTCTCTCTCCTCCTCCCTCCCTCCTCCTCCTCCTCCTCCTCCCTCCGCCTCCTCCGCCTCCTCCTCCTCCTCTCCCTCCTCCTCCTCCCTCCTCCTCCATTTTGCTTCCCCCTCCACTTCCTCCTGTTTGCTTCTATCATATTTTATTCTTCCCCCAAACGATTAAGATCCGAAGAGAAACTTCACACGGCGCTCTCTCTCTCCTTGCAGGTGCATGAGTGATTCAGAGGATGGGCCAGAATATGTGTTGCCCCAAGAAGGGGCCGCCACCCCCAAATCACCCAGGGCCGTTTGACCACATAGGTACGTACAGCTTGTTCTGCAGCCGGAAGTTCTTTCTGGGTAAGGTATCACCATTCAGGAGTGGGAACCTGCTGTGGGTACCATTGCTGCTTTTGGAGGTCCTTCTCTTGCTGTATGAATTCATTTTAACTTTTTATTTTGCCTTTAGTGAGGTAGGTCGGCATATGAGCATTACTGGACATTGCAGTCCTTTTGGATGAGGTCGAGAGTAAGCATGCAACAGTAAGCAGAGGTTGTGATCCTAAGTGGTCCGTTAAAATGTCCCAAAACACTGCCCTAATATTCCATCCCATCCCTTCATAGAGTCCTGTTATATATATATAGCTTTTTGGCATCAATTTTTTCCTTAATACCAATGACATTAGTAAAGATTTTTGGAGATATTTCTTAGTTCTTTTTTATGTTAAACGTGGTTATATTTTAGACTTGATTGTTTGGCCATGAGTTTACTGTGTTTAAGGAACTTGAATTATTTATGTATCACTTCATTATTATGTTTGTTTGATATTGTTTCTATTTCACTGTTATGGAAGAGATAGATTATCTTAGTATCATTTATACACTTCTAATAGATAATAGGCATCAATAAAGTAATGCATAGCAAGAGAAATGCTTTAAAGACGGAAGAAAGAAAGTGGTGTAGACCATAATCTAATGACTATGTTCCATTCCTTTTCACATGACCATCAGATCCAGTCGAAGGATTTAACTTGGTGGAAGTTACACCTGTCAATGGCATCCCACGGGAAAATGCCTATTCCGGAACCCAGGTTGCCGTTACAACAAACTATATTGTTGAAGGTTGTTCATGGTCATCAAAGTCTTTGCAGCGTTTAAGCTTTTCATTGCTTCATGCTACCAAAGACTCGCTGGGTCTCATTATTATTAAAGACAGAATTTGTCTTTTGCAGTTGCAAGCAAGCCAAAAAACAATCATTCCGTTCAAAGGCCGAAGTGCTTCTCTGCTTGAGTCATGCAGAAATATTAATGTGTTCACAGGTAAAGCGGATGGCAACGCCTCCATGACACCACCACACGGTGGTGGAGGAAACCCTCGCTATTATCCAGACCCGTCCAGAGGCGGCAGACCTGCTTATAACTCTCAACAACATGGAGTCGATGTTATCCGGTCAAATTCAGGACAAGGTGGGTTTTACAAAATCGCTCGCTACAATCGCTGAGGCACAGTGCGTGGATTGAGAATGGTTAAATTCTTTGGCATTCATCATTGATGTTACAGTAGATGATGTACTGTCATTCGCACTGGTATAATTATTGTTTGTTGTAGACACTGAATTCTAGTTAGTAACTCATGTTTAATGTGAATGATTAAGCAGTTGGCACTTTTAAGATACACAGAACTTAGACAAGTACAATAATTGAGCTTATTGGTAAATCTTTGGAGTGGTGTGTAATTAGTAAGGTAATATGAGCTATCAGTTCTGCACTGAACTGTCACTTAGCAGACACATATTCAGGTTCAGTCATTTTTTTTCTCCTTCACATTTGTGTCATTTATCTTTTACCATTGTTTGGATCCTTTCCCTCCTATTCCTATATATATCCTTGTGACCTACACATCCTTTAAAATTGAACAATCACCGCCGATATCATGAAAATTTCCCAAAATAAAAGTATATAATTTCGATTAAGAAGGATTGATCAATCACGAGCACGATAATTGGGAAAATGAAATACGGATATCAGAAAAAAAAACACGCGAAATAGAGAGAAAATTGATATCGTTGTCTCTAAGTGAATGATCCCTTTCAAGATTTTAGAGTCATATGTTCAAGGAAGAGTAACTTTCATTCTAAAATATTTAATTCGACAACGGCAGGACACGCGACTATCTTAGGATTGACAAAATGAATGTTGAAATGTAGAGGTGAAATTGGAGTGCAAAACCTACGGGGTAAAACGAACATAAAAAGTAATGATAGAAATACTCACGAACGGAGAATCCTAGAAAAATAGTACAAAGTAGATTTCAAACAGTACACAAAAAAGTTCCGTTGGTGTAATACAGTGAGAAATGAAAGCGTTGATTAGCTATCGAGTATGGATTTCAGAGGAACGTCAAGTTTGTGATGAATTTCTTACTTTTTTTTAGAATTAATGAAGGGGAGGTTTAGTTCAAAGTTACCTTATATTTTCTGTTAAGTTTCTATGCATATGTTGTATCGCCTGACCAACTAACATCGATGTGTAATTAGCAATAGACAGTGTAAACAACTTGTGATTTGTGTGTATATTTTACTATGATTTTGTGGAAATTGTTTATACACATGTACACGCTTGTAAAAATGCACATGAACGGACGCACACATGCGCAGACTCACACATGCAATAGATTCGCACA